CAGCACTGGCTGTCTTTGGGCAGTGGCATCACAGAGCAGAGAGTAATTCGTTGGAAGGGACCTGCATCCGGTATTAAAGCTTGTTATTAAGGGCATTGTCCAAATGCCCCTTAAACACTGACAGGCTGGGTGCACCAACCACCTCCCAGGGAGTGTTTGGCCACCCTCTTGGGAAAGAAAAGCTTCCTGATGCCAAGTCTGAACTTCCCCTGATGCAGCTTTGAGTTGTTCAAACGCATCCTGGGGGAGATGTCCCTGCCCACAGGAAGTGTCACTGCCTACACAGGAGGATTGGGACTAGATGATCTTTAAAGTCCCTTCCAATCCAAACTGTTCTGTGATTCTATGATCCTGTCCCTGAATCCCAGGGAGATCAGTACTGTCCCCTCTACATCCCTGCACAGAAAGCAATGAGGTTGCCCCTCAGACTCCTTGTCTCCAGACTAGACAAACCCAGAGTCCTTAGCTGCTCCTCATAGGACATGCCTTGCAGCCCTTTCCAGCAAAAAAAACATGAATATAAACTTGATTTTGAGATAAGTTTCACACAGAGATGGTGGGTGGTGTGGAGCTCCCTTTGTCTGTGGCTATGGAGAGCTTCCAGCTTCCTCTAGGACCACGATGGGGGGTACAGAGAGGATGGGTGGTATGGAGCTCCCTTTGTCTGTGGCTGTGGAGAGCTTCCAGCTGCCTGTAGGACCATGACAGAGACAGTGGGTGGTGTGGAGCTGCTTTTGTCCACGGCAGTGGGGATCTTCTAGCTGTCTGTAGGACCTTAACAGGCTACAGACTAGGGCCATGTGTGTTTCCTTATCTTTAGGTCAATGTCCTTGTTTGCTGCAATGCTCTCCAGCTGAGTGGTAGAGGAAGGAGGAACAGGTGCATGCCATGATCTGGTCATGTCCCTGTCTGAGGATGTGGCTGTCAAAGACAGGAGCATCACAGAAGAGAGCAGCCACCTGCTGTGCTGTGGGGCAGCCCTCGCCTCCCTGCCAGGGCTCTCCCAGCCTGATGTCAAGGCTGTCCAACCCATGTCTCCCTGGTGGATCAGAGACACCCATCCTGGCCCAGCCACATCACCTACCCCACTGCAGAGTGGGCCACCACCAGGGACCATTTCAGATGGGTTAGGGTGAGATAAGAAAGGTAGAAAGAGGTGGGATAAGAAAAGCAAATAGGACTTTTTTTATGCCAAACTGTGTATAAAGTATTCTTGGGTCTTTTGTGTTAAGCTTGTGTTTTATCTTTTCTTTCTTAGTCACATAGAAAAAATTACAACCTGGCAAGATCCTCGGAAAGCCATGAACCAACCTCTGAGCCACATGAACCACCACCCTGCTGCCACACCAGTGCCACAGAGGCCTATGGCCATGTCTCAGCCAAATCTCGGTGAGTCTGGGTTTCATCTCTCTGTGAAAATTCAAAAGAGAGGAGAGCCACCTTTTGCTCATTTGTTTGCCAAAGTAATTTTTTCTTCAAGAAGAGAAGCTCTGATTCTCCTTTTTTTCCCCCTCTGTAGAGTTGTCAGTGAGCAAATTTAAACTGTTTGAGGTGAAGTTATAACATCTCTTGCATTTTATTTTAGAGCCTTGTTGACTATTTTTTGATGTAGCATTGAACAGGCTACAGCCTCCCAGGCCTGCCATGTGATTGAAAGCTCACTGTGCAAAGTGCTGTTAGTCTCTCTGCATGCCAGAGTTTGTAGCTGGCTTGCTTGTTTGTTTATGGTGGTGGAGATAAAAATACTAAGAAGTCTGTTTTACAGTATGAATGACCTAAAAACTTCTGTAGATGGTGTGGCTTCATTGCTGCTCCTGGTGAGCACTTCAGGCTTGAAGTTAAGCATCAACTTTTGTTCCCTCATTTGCCAGATACAAGCCTTAGTGAAAATGGAGCCATGAAAGCTCTGGAAATTTTAAGGGAAACACATAAATGAAAGAACATTTTCATGTATAATTGAGAATTGAAGTAATCCCTAATATTTCACTTGTGCAGCTTTAACTTTTCTGCCACTCAACAGAATGAGGAACAGATCAGTCAGCTTTTAAGCTCAGGATCACAAAACTGTCAGGTGGTCTTAAAAGCACAGACAAGGTTAATTTTTGGTGAGTTAGTTTCATCATTCCATGGTGATTCATTTGTAGTTGGGTTCATCAGGGCCATCTCTTCGTGTAATAAGAAAATAGTAAACATACGGGTGCCTGTGGTCACCAATAGCAGTAATGACATATACAGATTGACTTTTGTCTTAAATTTATAAACACCTCAGTTGTCCCCTGGGGTAACTAACTTCAGTTCTTTCTTCTACCTTTCTCTCAACAACTGTCCTGCTTTAATATATTCAGTGAATGGTGTTGGTTATGTTCTGTGATCTAGGGGACAGTAGCAAATTGTGTCTGAAGAGGAAACTTCATTAAAACCCGCAAGGTCAGGGTGTGCTGCAGTGTGGCCCACGGCATGGGAAACAGCAACTGCTCTGCATGTGTTGCTGCAGCCTCAGCTGTGCTTGGGTCAATCTGTTCATGGCAGTTCTGACATGGCTGAGAGGTAAGAATAGGGCCATGCAGTTTTCTGTTATGCCAACTCAGCTTTTGTTGACTTCTGTTACATTCTCTCTAATTAAAAAACAAAGGAGATTTCATCAGGACAATGTGCAGCAAGCTTTTTTCCCCCAGTTTGTCAGTGGAAGTGAATCAAAACCAAATCCTGTACTGAAATACTTGTATACTGAATTGCAGAGGGGGGTCTGTCTCAAGATGCAAAGGATTAGAAATACAAGTATACACCTAATTAGGAGTCTGTTCTTGAAGGGACTTCAGGTGCCCAACAGGGACATTTCTGCAGACCTCAAAATCTGTCTCATCAAATACAGGCGATTTCATGCAGTACCCTTCCCATTTATAGATGAGGTCCCACTCTTTGGTGGGTATTGACATAGTGATTCTGATCTGTGACTGAATTTCCTAAACATCAGCCCTCTAGAAATGGTATGTGAAAATTTCCACAGTTTTCATATGTATTTAATAGAGAAAATATTTGGTTAATATGTTTTGGTGAATTTTTTCTCATTCTGGTGTCTTTTGAAAGGCAGGCAGTGACAGTTCAGGAGCAAGGAAACCTCTGCACACCTGAGTAGCACTTCCAGCACTAGGGCACTAAATTCAGCACCAAAGTCCCCAGTTTCCCAAATCCCCTGTTTGAACACACCAAGTGTGATACTACTGTATTTAAAATTCTATTTTAAAATACTGAACCTAGAAACTGTGTGTGTATATATACAGACACAAATACATTAATTACAAGATTGCAACAATCTGAACACAATACAATAGCTCCTGAATACTTCACGTGACAGTTTAAAATACACGAGTGCAGTTTCCAGTTAGAAAGGAAAATGTTTCTATTTTGAAATTATCTTGGCCAGAAGGAAGGGCCTTTCTGCTCTTTTGTGACACTAATGGTCTTACTACTAAACCTACTTTCTTGGGTCTGCTCAGATGTTGAAGTGAGCAGTTTATTGTTCTGGCAGTCAGTCCCCTAAGCCAGAAGTGATTGTGCCAACATCTTACAGACATCAGAGGGGAAATGGAAACTGGATACCAAGTTAAGCCACTCTTCTGGCCATAATTTTGTAACTTTTTAGCAAATGAAGCCTATGGGATCTGTCTCGGTGTTTTTTGGTACTGGAGGAATTAAAAGAAGTTTTTCTTTTGAAGATGTGCTACTTAAAAGCATTTAAGTATTCCAGGTCTGCATACTGGTCTACACTTCCAATTACTAACACATGTTTTCCTTGCTGTGCCTCTCAGGAAGAGATGGAAAATATGGTCTGTTCTGTGCAGCTTGTTGCTTTGGTTTGTAAGCTCCTTTTGGCAATATTTGCTGGGAAGGGTACAAAAACACTTATAAACACGGTCTCAAAAGCAGAGTGTGTCTAAGTGATACCAAATCGTAGTGTGGCTATGCTTGAGACACAGAGGAACACGTATTTGACTGAAACCAGTAGACATACTTTAAAAAATCTGCTGTGTTTTTCTGCCCTTTTTCTTAGTGTGGTTTTATGTTGCCTATTAATAAGCCACAAATACGGGTTTCCTTATAACTTCAGCAGTGTTAGTTTTCTCACTTTTTTTTTTTAAAGAAGCTTTGCTTTTTACACGTCATATAACAAAGGCATCTGAAGGTTTTCCTTCCTTTGCATCTTGTTACAGGTACAGAAAATAATACCTGCCAGGCAAGCAGGTGAAGCTTCAGTAATGAAAAGGGAAATTTGTCCCAGAGATGGAAGCGTATTTTTGCAGATTAGCATATATTCAGACTGGCTCAATCTGCTTTTTCTAAGTATTTTACATTTGTTTTCTTCTAAGACAGTTTGTAGAGGGATTTACTAAGGAAAGGACAACATTAACAGGAATCTTTTAACTATATATTTGGTGATGGAATGCATCAGGGAAAATGATCAGCCTTTGACTGAAGACAACTGGAAACACTATTTCTTGCATCTGCATAAGTACTTCAAAATCCCATTTACTTTGGTGCTGAATCTGCCCATGTGTCAGTTTTCTGCCCATTCAGAAACATAGTATTTTCCAGCTGGTTGATAAAGTGTTAAGTATATATTACGAGGCAGCTCCATTGTTGTGCTGGAATCGAGGACTGTGTGTGGAAGGAGGGGTATTTGTACCCCCTGATTTTGTGCATCTCACCTGCATCCTTGAATTAGAAGACCGAGCTCTGTGGACGTGCTGTGAATGTGAAGGAGAGGGCAGTTGTGCAGTGCACCAAAGCTAATGGTCAGACCCCTAAATGACTAAGTTGTTCTCTGAAAGAATCCAAGTCCAAGCTAGGAAAGCAGTTTTGCCTTAATGGCAGTCACTGGTGGTAAAAGGCTGTGGAAGATGGCTTTTGGCTATGTGTAGCAAGATGTAGGGGGAAATATTAGATCCTTATAAAAGGTTCTTTTGCAACAATTTCTAATTAAATGCTGCTTGTTTTGCAGTCTTTCTCCATTCTACATTATGTTGAGCAACACTCAAAACCATTGTTATTTTCATACTGCTTGTTTCAAACTGTTTTAAAGAGATTTCTTTTGTGATTGTACTCTTCATCCAGCTGGTGGGCACAATCTGGTCCTCATTTAGATGTTTTTCAAGTTTAGCAGTTTGCAATTTATTTTGCCACAAAATAAGAAAACCTTCTGATATTTTTTTAGGTTTTCTATGTATGTTAGCTTGAATTTATATGAGCGAGTTCCTTAAAAAGCTGGTGTGGAAAGAATAGACCCTGTGGAAAGCCCCAGGGAACCTCCTGTGCAGAGAGGAAGGTCATGGGGGTGGGATGCAGAAGGGGGCCCAGCAGCAGGTGCTGGTGCATCCTGCAGGGCTCAGGGCTGGATGCTGGGCAGGGGCAGTGGTGGGTCAGGTTCTGCCCAGAGTTCGCTGCTTTGAGAGTTTGGGGCACTTGGCCACTCTGTAAAATGCCTTCATTTGGGCATGGATGAGGGCCTTCAGTTTGCTGAGCCATGGCTGAACTGTGAGTTTGGTGTCACTCAGCTGGCCAGGTGCAGTCAGTCGGGGTATCCCTGCTGCCCTGCCTTTGCTCTCTTCGCAGCCCACACTCCAGCATCGGCAGTGACAGAGGCGTGTGCCTGGCTTTACTGATGGCACGTTCCACTGCTGGTTCATAAGAGAAGCTGGACAGGAGCTGCCAGTGAGTGCTGGAGCCCAGAGAGCCAACTGCATCCTGGGCTGCATCAACAGAAGTGTGGCCAGTAGGGCCAGGGATGGGATTCTGCCCCTCTGCTCTGCTCTGGTGAGACCTCACCTGGAATACTGTGTACAGTTCTGGGCCCCTCAGCACAAGAATGATACAGACCTGTTGGAGAGGGACCAGAAAAGGGCCCCCAAGATGATCCAAGGCCTGGAGCAGCTCTGCTGTGAAGACAGGCTGAGAGAGTTGGGCTGTTCAGCCTGGAGAAGAGAAGGCTCCAGGGAGACCTTGTAGCACCTTCCAGTGCCTGAAGGGGCTCCAGGAAAGCTGGGGAAGGGCTTTTCATCAGAGAAGACAGTGCTAGGACAAGGGGTAATGGTTTTAAACTGAGAGAGGGGAGATTTAGGTTAGGTATTAGGAAGAAATTCTTCACTGTGTGGGTGGTGAGGAACTGGAATGGGTTGCCCAGGGAGGTTGTTGATGCCCCATCCCTGGAGGTTTTTAAGGCCAGGTTGGATGAGGTTTTGTGCAGCCTGGTCTAGTGGTTCTCTGCTCATGGCAGGGGGGTTGGAGCTTGATGATCTTTAAGGTCCCTTCCAACCTTAATGGTTCTAGGATTTTATGAAATCATCAGACCTTGCAGAAGGGTGGGATTGAGGGGGAAGTCTTCTGAAAGCTGC